GTTCACACTCTAAACCAATTCTCTTGTCTGTAGCAGAAGTACAAAACAAGGAATAAAGTTATTAAGAAATGTGGAGGTCTTTATGAAGAAAATATACTTGGATATTAAAAGACTTGAAGAAATGGAGAGATTATTTTTTTCCAAGTTAATTTCAATTTTTTAATGTAATTCCAAGCAAAATCCCAGTGATACTTTGGAAGAATTATTATGAAATTAATTTCTATTTGTAAAATCCACTGCCTCTGTTAAGTCTATAAATATTTATTGAGCACAGAAAAAAAACATTTGGCAAATCAAACAAGCAAGATTATGAGCAAGAAAACTGAAAAGCAAAAGTAATGGGGTGAGGGCAGGTGACCGGTTACCTCAGTTGGTTAGAGTGAGGTCTTGATAACACCAAGGTTGCCGGTTTGATCCCCACATTGGCCACTGTAAGCTGCGCCCTCCTTAAAAGAGTCAACTATGCCATTGTAGCATGAAAGCAATGTGTAACCTAAGATCATGGCTGTCCCCAATAAAATTAAAAAAAAAAAAAAGTAATGAGGGGCTTTTCCTTACCAGCTATTAACGCATAAGGTAAAACAATAGAAGCTATAAAAGTTTCCTGGTGGTAGAGGATATCTTTCAAATCAGAGTGGGAAGGGTGATTATTCCACAAATGGTGTTGACACAATTAGCCAACTATATGATGAAATATATTTTAGATGAATTAAATATTTTTAAAAGGACTCATAAGGATATAGGAGAAAATACAGGTCAGTATTTGAACGAGACCCGCTCGACTTCCAGTGGTCACCTGGCACGCGCTAGCCAGGTACCTAAAGGGTCCCTGAGTGGACCAGGTGGGAGATTGAGAAATGGAAGAAACCAAGTAGAGAAGAAAGACAAAGACAAAAGCTGGGATCAGGAGGGACACTCTGCTGTGGATGGCGGAGAGTGCCAGCGTTTTTGGTTACACACTGGTTTTATAGAGAAAGCAATTTCCCTTTTTGTAGGGAAAATTCCCTAACAGCATAGGGGATTTTGGCAGAGGTTTTTTGGGGAATGGGGAACCAATGTCCCTTATGTCAGGTTTTGGGGGTCTGGAGAAACAATTTCTCCTCGCAACAAGTAACAACATAAACCAATGATATATTTTAAGCAAGGTTAAACTGAGGCAAATAGAAACTGTCAACAAGTCCCAAAGTATCAGAGTCCATATTTAGAAAGTGTCATCCGAGGGTCCGGTGGTTTCAGTTTTAGGGGACTTCTGCTTTACCCTGGCACAGGAGATGAGCTGACTGTTGTTGGGTCAGATGTCTCTCCAACAGTTTCTCTTTTGCTGTTCACCCAACANTCCCAAGCCAGCTCTTAACCAACGTGCCGCTCGGCCGGCCCTCACTTGTCATTTTGAACCTGGAGACAAACAACATGGGTTCTGATTCTAACTCATTGAGAAACTGTAATATGGTATCTAAATCTTTGTATTTGGCCATATATATCCTCTGAAGGAATTAAGATTACTGTAGAAGTTATATGGAAGAGAAGTAGGCCCAGGGTGGCAAATTGCAGAAAATACCATCAAAAATACATTTTCTGTAAGGAAGAACTCATCTGCTGAGAGACCTCTCATCTACACATGAGCTAAGAAATCTGGGAAATTCAGCAGAGCACATTATGGCAGCTAGTTATATTTTAGAAGCACGCAGTTCTATTTTGTCCTGTGTGAAAATGTTTTTGTCATTTTTCCCCTTGTCACGATGGAGTTGAGTCATTATGTAGACCTATCTCCTTTAGGCAAATCCAACAATAGGTTCAATAAATGCAATAACAACAAAAGACTTAAAAATAACAATTTAGAAAGTATGGATTATTTCTCTTGCCATTCTTCCCAGAGAATATATGCTTCAGCATAAGGTGGAAGATGTATGATTAACTGTTTTCTTCTTGGCTCAGTTCAGGTGTGTATTTCTTAGCGAGACTATCTTGCCAGGCTGAATGTGATTCTAGCTGTTAAAGATTTTTCCAATCGCAGGGCCTCTGAACACAAGTCAGCTACGTCACTTAGTACTCCACAGAGTAATGATTTTTGTTCCAATGCAGGAAGAAAAACTGGTTGAGAGATGGGATTAAGTCTTCAATGAGATACACAATATGGCCATGTGTACTGTTCTTTATTGATTATTTAAGGGATTTACAAGGGAATTTTCACTGTACATACATACTTTTTACCTGATAATACTCGCTTTAGAATTTAACTGCCTAACATGTGATGTAGTGATGGTTGCTTGGAATGCTGGGTTAATGTGTGTCTGGAGCTTGGATTGGGTGTATTTCAGATAGATGCCATCCTGCGCTAGCCTCTTGTCTAACAAATCATAGGTGCAGTGACAGATGCAGAAAGCTATATCGGTGTTTGCTTTTTTAGGTAGACTTTTGTGATGTTGAAGTGGAGTCAGTTTTACATATGTTCTTGTGCCATCATTAGTTTGGAGGTTAATTTATTTTATTTAGTGCCTGCTAAGAGTGAACATAACATCTCCCTCAATATAGATGGCTGAACTGGAGTATTGCTATTTAGTCAGCTTGTTTTGAAACAAATTCAGTTATTAGTAAATGCCTTTTTTTTTTTAAGGTGAAAATGGGCTTGTTGGTGGATCTGACAAATACTTCAAGGTTCTATGACAGAAATGACATAGAAAAAGAAGGAATCAAATATATAAAACTTCAGTGTAAAGGGTAAGCCATGTATTAACATTCTTTAATATTGAAATCTCTTGCTGAAATTTGTAATCTCTTCTTTTTAAAAAAGGAATGTTTTCATATTACTAGACATGGTGAGTGCCCCACAACTGAGAATACGGAGACATTTATTCGTCTATGTGAGCGGTTTAATGAAAGAAACCCACCTGAACTTATAGGTATGTTTGACTTGACTTTTACTTTG